AAGATCCTGTCTGAAAACAGTATGCAGCGCGACTTACAAAGTCTTTTCGTAAGTCGCGGACATCGACCCGGAGAACGAAAGTTTAAATCTGATCTCGTGCATAAAAATCTGAAAGCTCAAGTCTGATCTCGTGTGTTTTAACTAAATTATGGATGTTCAATAATTTATGTTTTTAATGAAAACTATTATAAACAATATAACATAACAATGTGTATTTCCCTTCGGAGAACTTGTATCAATACCATAATCACATTTAGCATAGTTGGATCATCAACTTTTCAAACGAAATAATCAAGTTGGCTCTTTTACCAACCAATCCACCCTCAATTTTTACCGCACTAAACTCTGGTTGTGAAATTTTCAAACACATTTAGTCTTCAAACATCCCCTTGGAAAATAAATTTTGACGCTGGTGGAGGGAAGCGGTAAAAGCGCCATCAAGGCTTTGACTTTTTCAAGGTAAGCGTTTTGTCAGCATTGAGTGGCTTTGGCATACAGACTAGGCGGACTACCATGGCAATTAGAGTTGGCATGAGTAAAGCGAGGCAGACATTTTCTAAGCGGACATGATGTGCAGATTATTCTAGTTGGTGTTGGTGACATATTTGACCAGTTTGTCCACAGCCACCCGTCCGTCTGAGTCAACTACAGCAGACAGAATCGCCTGTGCCTCCCCCTCACTCAGTCTCTCCCCCAGTCGAGTGAGGATGTCCTTAAGCTCGGCCTCTTTGAGACTGCCTTTGTTGTCTGTGTCGAACACTTTGAAACCCTCGTAGAAGGAGGCCACATCGAACTCCCTCTCGCCCTCCGCCTAAAATATTGTTCTTTTAAAATATTCGGCAATTAAATGGAACAGGATTGCTCATATCAGGGAGAAGCCCTGAATGTTCCGACTGCCTTTTAAGACTTATGGAGCAGTAGTAACATAAAAAAATTAAATGTAATAAAACAAAATGAAAAAAAAATTGAAATTTTTTTAATGAAATCACCACCCCACACGCCATATAAAGTACAAAAGAATAGATTTCGCTCTTTGTAACAAATTAGTTATGGCAAATAAGCTTCTTTCAACCAATTTGGAACGATTTCTAAGACGGATTAAATATCCGCTTACGCGTTAAGCGCGAAATATATCGCGCGTTAATTGTCCCAAATTGGCCAAAATGGCAATCTTTATAGCCCCATAACTTTACGAAAAACGATCACAGGTGAAATATCTTTTCAAATTTAAGTTCAAGAAGACAACAATACCTTTTGAATGATATAAAAAAGTTCCGTCAAAAATGGCTAGAAAAAAAAACCCACCCCGAGCACAAATATTCAGTTACTTTCGTATCGAAAGTCGGAACAACAAGCAACAAATTAGCCCTACACGATGCCGACGTTTGAGTTGATGTAAATTCAAATTCCGATATGTTTGATATATGATTTCACAAACACTAAGCTTTCAGTGAATTAGCTTCTTTCATGCTGTCAATAGCTCATACCGAAAAGTTGATGCTATGAAAACGGACCATGGAAGAAGACAAATATTAATCACAAATACAAAAATGCAAAAATCTAACATCGAATGCCCGAAAGAATGAGGGATCAAATAAAGAACCCATTTGGGTTACTAACGAAGACATAAGGAATCAGCTAATGAAATTTGAAATCTTCTAAAAAGTGAAAATATATATGTGTATACATAAAACATGGGAAAAATTAATCAAAAAGGAAAAACATGAAGCAGTAGATTTCGGGCCTCGTCTAGACAGGTTGATGACATTAGGTCCAAACTGTGCGTCAATATTTAAAAGAATTCTTCAATTGTAGTTGGTATAAAGCCAAACTGAATCAGAAAAAAAAGCAAACTCAACCCAATAATTCTGAACCTTGTTAGTCGTAGGCACCCCTAATCGTTCTCAAAAACAAAACTTGAATTGTGTCTCATCCCTTCAAGCCTTTCTGTGATCAGAGGAACTGATTGAGGGCTAAATGGCCAGGAGACACCTAACTGAGCCTATGCGCCAGTAATCAGCGAACAAGCCCAAGACGAATTGACAACCATAAACAGTTATTTGAACGAATTGACATCTGTTATTTTCCGGAACTGTTCTTGAATTTGGGAAATCTGTCACTAAAAAAAACAAATTTGATCAGCTTTTCTTTGCTTAATGTAAGGAAAATACGAAATTCCTCAACAACTTTTAGAAGTAGGAAAATTGTCTCAGAAAACTTGCTTAGCTCCTGTAACTAAGTGAAAAGCTTCGAATCTGGTTTTTGAAATTGCGACTTTTCATCAAGTCAAGGTTAATATCAAGATACATGAAATATCTAAAAAAGACTTCAAACAATTTTCAGAATGCAGTTCTAATACTGATTGCAAGACAAACTTGTGGCGTTCAAACACATGCAGCTCGTAAATTGTTAAAATTTTTCATAAAAAACTTCTCGAAAACTTTATATTTTTTGTTGAATAGTTTTCTTTTGGTTCATACAAAGGATCAGAAGCTTTGTGCAGTGAAATTAAAAATAAACTAAAATTCTATATTGCACTATGGGCTTGATGTCAGTTTACTCTAAATAATGACGCTTTTCTGAAAAATTGCTTCATTGTTTTTCAAGCTTAGATCGTATAAAATTATTGTGAGATTTAAATGACAATTTAAAATCTATGTTAACACTAAGATAATTGCATGTTCCTTCAGTTTTTGAAGCTATGCTTTTTTATACAATAGCTGATAAGAAGCACTTTTCAGAGATACAGTAACTTGTACCGTTTTGCCCATTCAGAGATAGTTTATTTAGAATTAACCACTGCACCATAGCTTTTAATTCTTGATTGAAACTCTCTAAGTTCGCAGACTTTCGGAATGCCAATATTTATAAATAAGAAACAGCACAGGCCCCAAAATATATCTCTGCTGGACACCACGTCCAAATTTTGTTACGTTGATCGCGTTTAACCAATTTTAGCAAATTGGTTGCTGCGCTTCAAGTAATTTTTAAAAATGTTTTTCGACTGACACTACAAAACTTATGACTTAACTTATAAAACAAATCTTTGTGATTCAAGATGTAGAAAGTTTTTTCTAAGACAAGAGAAATTGTTCTCTTGGGTGATTTAGTTTAACCTAGGCGACATTTCTCCGCTACTTTGACAATAGTATCAAGAGTACTGTGTTTCGTATAAAAAGGTTTTCTTTCAAGGTAGCTGTACAATCGGTTGCACATGGTTGCCCAAATACTTCACTCCAGATTACCAGAGAGATTTTTGTCAAAAATATTTATTGACATCCAGTTTAAATGCTGTTTTCAGTATAAAATATTCCAGCGCTTGAGCCAGGTAGTATAAACACGACTTGATTCCAAGTAAAGTTCAAGAAGTTTTTATGAAAGAGTTGCGATTGAACTAGCTGTATTAGGTAGCTTGATCCACCTATTCCAGTAGATATTTTGTTTTGCGGGGCAGAAAGATTTACTTTATTTCCAACTTAGCATTTGAATAGAAACGCATGCATGGCTCAAAAAAAAACGATGGGATTCTAAATCAGGTAATTTATTAGCTGAGTGAGTGCCAATGGCGGGAAAATGGCCATTGAGCTTTTTCCGGGCAGCTAATTTGTCACTAACAACTTTGCTCTACTTCCATTTGTCAAAAATTTTGTATTAAAACAGGTATTTGCCATAACCTTCAAATCAATTAGTTTTTGTATACTTTACTTGAGTAACCAATACAATTCTTGAAAAAATCATAGAAATTTGTTTTTTTTTTCAAATTGAATTACAATTTTACTCCTAGCAGAGCAGATTCAAAACGAAACCGTTCTCCAACTTTACTTTTGTTTCAACCAAGATTTATGAAGTGTTACTCTTGAAATTAGATCTTTGAAATGATAGAACAACCATGGGCAGTCAACGTTTTGTTTCTTGGTTTTGATATTCTCAACACCGAAAATACATTAAAAAGTTATTTGGTTGTACACTGCAAGTTCCTCGGCTTTCCTGGGGAATCGCCTGTACCGCATTCTTCCGGTATTCTTTTTTTCCGCACTTTGCCCGACGCCTATTATATCCTGCCAGTAAATCTGCTTCTGACACACTTTTCAAATTACATTTCCTCGCTTCCATCTGTTTCCACGGCCTTTCTAATAGAGACTTGAATATCCTGTAGCTCTTGATTGATTAAAGATCTGAAAATAACTGATAAGGATGTTTCCAACTTCTTAAAGTTTTGGAGGTTATAGTTTTCTGGTACTTTCTCTGTTTCATGTTATAATCGGCTCTCATTTAGGCTGTTGATGTTTTCAGACGATGAGTGCAAATCTGGGTTTAATGGGACACACGTTATTTCTGAAAAAAGTTTAGGGATCGGCGTCTGGTTGTTTACTAGGAGTTGGCTTGGTAATTTACTAGGATAGTTGATTGCTGTGCAGGTAGCACAGAAAAATCTGACTAAACTAAAAACGGTTTGTTCTTTTCCAATTTTGATTTGTGCCATCGAAAGCTTAAAAGTTGGACATTATCGTTAGTCATAGTAAATGCAGTATATTCGACAAAAATTTCTTTGAAAATGACAGAAAACAATAATTAAAAAAAACAATTATCACTAAAAAGGACGCTAGAAAACCTTCAAAAAATAATTTTTTTTATACCAACTTTTTTATACTAATTATCAGAAAATTCCAATTGTTTACTAATCTTTTATTGCCGTTCGCATCACGACAAAAGTTTAGTAAGATGAATCAACAAACCCATTTCGATGATAATTTTTGCTCTTTGATTATGTGGAGGAAAAAGAATTAAACTAAAACACACCCGAAGCTAAAGTTTTTCCCGCTTTTAGTAAATGAAGACACAAAAACTTTCAAGTACTTTAAGGAAAATTTGGATCACAATTTTGTTTTTTTTTCGGCGTGCGCATCCCCGTTAAAATTTGTGCAATGTTAACGTCAAAAATGCCTTTAAAAAGTTAGGGTTCGGGTTCCCCCAAAATACGCCCCATCGAGGAAAGGGAGCTACTTCGTCACGCGATTCAAAATCCCGTTGAAAGCATCGATACTCGCTACAAAAAGTCAACAAAACAACCTGAGGGGGCCGGCGATACTAAAAGGGGTAAAAAAATGTTGCTATTCACCGTTGATAGATAAATCCACTAGTGCTACGGGAATTCTTCGCGTCCAATTCGCTCAATTTCGTCTTTATGTCCCAGTGTAAAGGTAAGAAAAACCTATTCATAATATAAACTAGTACCTTTTCTAGAGACTGATAGACTGGTACAAACTCATCAAATGTCATTCGTTCTGCGGCCGCACTCCTCGTCACCCGGTCGATGTCCTTGTTGGTCGGGTTAAGACCCAGTGCCCGCACCAAGTCCCCCACCTGTCTCTTGTCTATTCTACTGTCTCCCACTTTGTCGAACACCAGGAAACAATCCTGCACATAGTCCATCGAGTGATTCATTATGAAGCCTCTATATGCAAACCGATACTGTTCTGATGCGATGTCACAAGGCGTTCTGATGGGATGTCTGTCGCTGTACAGTTGGGGACAAGGTTATAAGGTTTTCCCTGTTCACCGGAAAATGAATGATTTCTGTTAGGAGAGATGAAATAACTGCTTGTATTAGATATAAATTAATGAACGTTTGACTATGTGAAAAATCGATTCAATCGTGATTTACTCTATTTTTAGGAGTTAGCGTAGAGTTTTCAGCTATTCTGGTCAGAACAGTGTGATGATTCACTGACTGACTGTGTGCACAAAATATGAAAATATGATGCAATTCGAGCAAGAAAAAAGTTAAAAGCGTACATAATTATAGAGAGTTGCAAAAAGTTCGGACATACAGACTTAATTAAAAAGAGCAACTGTCTAGACATCAACGAAAATTAAAACTGAAATAAACATAACGTCGAAAGTTAAAGCACAGTTTTGCGCGAAAATTATAACCACGGCGGGCAATTGCATCCGAAGCGTCGAGTAGTAAACCTTGAAACAGGAAAATTATTGCTCTGGGTGGCTATCGTTTTTCTGCGATTAGTTTCCAAATTTTAAATGATTTGATCATCTTCATTGCCGTTTGTTTTTTTTTGGTGCGGCCTAATCTGTTTTTTTTCTTTGTTTCGTTATTTAACTAACTTTGCAACTGTTCTATTGTAAAATCCGGATGTTCATTGCAGTATTTTAAAAATTAGGCTAGCATAATCTTCGGATATTCGAAGATCTCGCATCTTGAATTTGGCCTGACAAAAAATTCAAGGTTGTTCGGCTTCAGATTTTGCATGCAAAAAAATGTCAAAATTATTTTTGTCTGTTCGAATTTTTTGCTGTTCGAACTATTTTGTCTGTTCGAAATTATTTTTGTCTGTTCGAACTTTTTGTCTGTTCGAACTTTTTGTCTGTTCGTAACAACTATTTTGTCTGTTCGTAATTATTTTTGTCTGTTCGAACTTTTTGCTACTAATTATAGTACCAAAAAGTTCGGACCGACAAAAATAATTAAAAGGGGGAATGATTTTCTTTCAGACAATTTTTGCATGCAAAAGCTAATTTTTCAGACAGAAAGTATGTCTCAATGTCAGATCAAAACTGAAACTTGAAAGCAAAGTTTGCTCAAAATTGGCAGATTGCATTTTAATTTACTTCTGTCTGCCCAAACTTTTTGCAACTCTCTATATTACAGTTGCAAAAATTCAAAACTTCGAACAGACAGAATTAATTTAAAAGAGCCATCGGCCAATTTTGCACAATTTTTGCATCTAAGTTATAATTTTTAGGCGACCTTGACGCATACTTTCTCTCTGAAAAAGTGGATATTTCATGGAAAAAACATTCTGAAAAAGATTATTTACTCTTTTAATTAATTTTTCCAGATCCAACTAATTGTATCTCTAAATCATCTAAATTGATATATTTAGTAGCAAAAAAATTCAAACAGACAGAATTAATTAAAATGAGCAATCTGTGCTTTTCGACGCTTTTTTGCATGCAAAATCTGAAGCCAAATAACCTTGAACTTTTTGTCTGACTAAAATCAAACCGCAAAAACGCCGATTATCCGATGATTATGCTAGCCTAGTTTTTAAATACTGCATTGAGAATCCAGATTTTACTATAAGACAGTTAGAAAATTAGTTGAAAACCGAAATCTAGAGTTATTTTCATTAACAAAAAAAGTAGTCACAAAAAAAACAAACGGAAGTGAAGATAATCAAATCATTCAAAAATTGGAAACTAATCGCAGAAAAACATTAGCCACCCTGAGCAATAATATTCCAGTTTCAAGGTCTACTATTCGACGCTTCGGATGCAGTTGCCCGCCGTAGTTATAGGTTTTGAGCGGAACTCTGCTTTATGAATTTTCGACGTTATGTTTATTTCAGTTTTAAATTCCGATGATTTCTAGAGACAGTTGCTCTTTTTAATTAATTCTGTCTGTCCAAACTTTATGCAACTCTCTATAGTATAAATTTGGAACAGACAGAAATAATTAAGAAGAGCAATCTACCAATTTTGAGCAGTTTTCGCGTGGTGACCTTTATAAATTTTTGTCTGAAAAAATATCTAATGCATGCAAAAGTTTTCTGAAATAGATGATTTGCTCTTCTAAACTATAATTAGTAGCAAAAAGTTCGGACGGAAAAAAATAATCAAAAAGAGCAAATTACCTTTTTCAGACAGTTTTTGCATGCAAAAGCTAGTTTTTCAGACCGAAAGTATGTCTCAATGTCAACTAAAAATTCAAATTTGCATGCAAAAATTGCTCAAAATTGGTAGATTGTTCTTTTTAATTATTTCTGTCTGTCCGAACTTTTTGCAACTCTCTATAATACTCTATTGGTTCAAAAGCACTGTAAAATTTTTAAACGACAAGTTTTCGATCACAAAAAGAATAACCTTTGGCTCTAAGAATCTGATTCATGCGACCTTGCAACTCGATACGATGGTCAGAGATGCTATCCGAACCGATTATAATGACTTAAGTGTTACAGACCTCAAAAAGCAAATAAGCCAAGCCCGGCGTGTCCGAGAAAGTAGGTTAATAGCCAGTTATAATTCGAAGCAAAACAAACTCTAGAAAGAAAATATAGCTGCAGGTAACATGGGAGGCACTTGAGCGTTATTTTCATTCTGGAGAGGATTCTCTTGGTTCAAGTTAGCCCCACCATGTTTTTTGAAGCGAAACCCTATTTGAATTAGGATCACTTTTAAACATTTCAAGGCGAGGCGTACCTATGAACTTTGCATATGTGAGGGCAGATTTCTGGCAGGCTAATTTTCAGAGCTCTCCTAAAAACTACTACACTTTAGGCTTTTTGAAGAGTTTGACCATGGAATGGCGTTCCTTGGCGCACTTGTTCCTCAAAAAAAGTATAAAAGCGCAAAGATAGGGGTGTCAAATGGAACAATCACGTTCAGGACATTTTCGTTCCGACCATTCGAAAGTTGGGGAGGAACTTTGTATTCGGGTCTTTTATTTTTTTTCCACGCAAAATCAGGTACCACAAATAATCATCGGACTGGGTTGAGTGAAATATCCTCTTAAAGCCCTTTCAGTTGTGATTCGAACCACATTAAACTATTTCCAAAAAAAATTTCCCAGTGTCGAGAAAAACCGGTTCGAAATTTTTGATTTTTCGTCATAATTCGAGCGAATAAAGCAATCGAGCACGCTTACAACAGCTGAATTATGCCTAATTTAAGACCTTATAACTTAATTTTAAGCAAATAAACCTAGGTTTTGGAGTTTTTTAGCTTCATTTTCTAAATATTTAAGTTTTTTTACAATTTTTTTTCCAAATATTGCCTATATTACTATGACTGTCTAACACTAGCGGATTTAGGGGGACGCCTTCCTCCCCCTCAGGAATTCGACCCCCTGCCAACCCAAAGGGCAGAAAATTTGGTCAAAATGGGGTCTTTATAAGTGATTTAAGAGAGCTCAGAAAATCAATTAACGTTAAATTGTGGTGTAATTGAACTTAACGCGCTCTATTTTGTTGATTTATATTGGTTGATTTGATTGTAATTTGCATAAACCTAAACTCCTTGATTGAGAGGACATAAATTGTGATTTTTGTGATAATTGAGAAACACGGTGTTGGTAAGCTGTTACCCCCCCCCCCCCCCCCCCCCTCAGGGATTCGACCCCATGCCGACCAAAAGGGTCCCCCATTGTACTATTTCAGATATCCATTTTGGGTGAAGGATCCTATAAAGTTTCTAAAGGCGCCTTCGGCGCCAAAATACACTAATTTTGAGGGTGAACACGTCAAAAAACGTCAAATTTTTCCAAAAAGAACCAAAAACGCCTTTTTGGCTTGTTTTTTTTCAATTTGCTTGCGGTAAGATGGGGATTTAGGGGACGGGGGGGGGGGGGAAAGGGGAAGGTGCGGGGCGGAAAAAAAAGGCCAAAAACTTTTCAAATATTTTTAAAAAACCGACCCCTCGAGAAAGTTTTAGATCCGCCCCTGCCTGCGGCGCAGAAAATTTGCAAAATGGGGTCTTTCTAAAGCTTTGGCAGAGCTCGATAAATCAATTTGGTCGACCTAAAAAAAGTTCGTTAAAATTTTTCTTGAAAATCAGCGCCGAAAACCCCCACCCCCCTCGAGAAAATCCTAGATTCGCCCCTGCTATGCACCAATGATATTCTTAGGCTTCGACTGATCTTGACTAACTTTTTGTTTGGGCTTTCATCGGCTCTGGAAAAAAGTGTAAGTGCACTAAATATGGATGACAAAAGTTATCACAACAGAAAACATTCGTACATACAGAAGACTTTACATTGAAAAAAAATTGAAAAAAGTTGATAACCGAGCAGCAACAAGAATACGACAACATTTGGACCCATCCCTGTCGAGGCGAAGAAAACTCTTCTTAGAAAAAAAAATGAGCTATAAAGTTTAAACGAATTTTTACGACCCATCCGAGGTAACATATTAAAGCGCAAGAGTATATTTAGCCCTCAAAACTACGCAATATAAGTTGATTGAGCCAATTTAACAAAAGCCGAAAAAACTTTTAATTAAAAACGCCAAAAAGCAACCTAACTATTCAAAAGCGGACAGATCTTACAGCACTTTCAATTTTCATAAAAACCAGAGAAATCAAACTAAAACCCATTCTAATTAAGTAAGCAGATAAAAATTGCCCAAAAAACATAAAGCACAAATGATATTATACTGCTACCGCAGCCTACCGATTCAAAATTGCCACCGAAACAAGGTCTTTTGTTTGACATAGTTTGAAAAAAGAAGGTCGCACTAACATTCTTTGCTTCAGAGGTAAATAGCACCCGGTACTGAAATGTCATATGAATAAATTCAAAATCAAGTTTTAAAGATTAAGCTCAATTCGATGAAAAATTTTTATCAAGATTCAACACAATCCGCTGTTCCCTAACTAAATTATATGACGAAACATTTGCCTGAACCTATCAAATGTAGACGGCAAGGCAATACTGACTATAGGTTGAAACACAAAGAGTCAAAACTCTCCAACTTATGTTAATTTCGTATATATCTTATAATCACCACATAATTTAATTGCTTTTTAATGCAAGCTTAATTTTTTTGTTTGCATAGAAAATTGTCAAACTTGTCTACAAATTATGCATCCTCTCCTCGAAATTATTTGTAATGAAACTATTGAAAACATTTATTGAACTAACCGTGCCCAACCGAAAGGTTGAAATGTGTCAATATACTCATTAACGTTCTTTATCATTAAGAAAAGAATTTACATTGGATTTAATACAAAACAGAAGTCAGACAAAACAGAAAAAATTGAGCGTGAAAATCTTCGACTCTTTCTTGAAAAAAAAACAAAGAACACGACTTGAATATGTGAAAATAACTTCGATCAAAAACACTTAACACTGGCTAGTAACAAATTCCATGCAAATTCGGACGAAACACATTATGACGAAAAAAAAGGATATTTTGATTTTTTTATTTGCTATTGTAACTCTCACTAAAAAGCCAATACATGTGGAGAAGCAAAACTAGCAGCTACAACAATCAATACGATGAACAAACGGCGACTTGTTCATACTTTTCAAAATTTTTGTGGTATATCAAAATCAGGCCCACTTCAACCATCCTCTAAGACTCATACAAGAAATGAAATTTAAATCGAAAGTCAAGCCGCGAATAATCAAATTTAAAAACAAAATCACCAAGGCCTAAATAATAGTCTTTACTATCTTCATCGACTCTTCAAATAATTCAAAGAAAACAAATATTGTCACATTGACTCGAAGCCGCTAAAACCGAAACAAAAATCGCAAAATTGAGCTTCAAAACACGTCAGAAAATTTTAAAAAGTTTTTGAAAAACAAGAATTAGTTGACGAAAGGATTCGAACCCTCTCTAGAACAGACCTGATACTAGCCGCATTTTTGACAATAGAAAATTTTAGTTCAAAATGGGAAAAACTTTCAAGCTTATTTAAGCCTATCAGCAACCTAGACACCGAGGCGAATGTGCACTTCGCATACACAACCAAAAATATCACCGATAACGCTACTGGGAAAAACTGCATGAGTAAAACTTTGAATCTACATAACTTCTGAAGAGACGGACGCCAATTATGAGTCTACATAATTGCTAAGTTACGTAAGCCAATTATGTCACATTGGCAGTACCAGTCAAATTGAAAAAAAAAGAAATTTACCAAATAACAAACCTCAATTTATAGAGCGGACGCATTTTAAATAGTAAACTAAAAAGTTCATTTAAAACATCCGACCTTGCCCACGTTCGAACCCTCTTATTTTGTTGCGAGTCTCCTTCACTACCTCTACGCTACAGATCCATGATACCTTGAAGCTAAAGTGCTATTTGTAATATAATAGTCTGTGTTAATATCCTAAGCATTGGTTGTACTTAATAGCTGGTTATTGATCAAAATGAACACGAATAGTTGCGACATAGGTTGGAAAAAAAGACTTCATACTATCACACAATCAATCAATTCTTCCGGTTCGAAAGTAAATACAACGAGCTATTTATTAGCATATCTCCACTTTTGCTTCAAAAACAAAACATGGATCTTCGCTACCGACAAAAATTTAAAACTGCGTGCAACAAAAATCGTCAAAAAACTTTTCACTCAATACACGACACCTACTAAGTCTGTATTTCTCATTTTCAATTTCAAATATAATAAAAACCTGAAAATACAAAATACATTTTGATGACAAAATACAATGCTACGAATTATATTGAATTAATAATAGAAAATCAGTATTATCATTAATGAAATAACAAGTTTTAGAAGAACAAAATCAAATTTTACAAAATACCAGGATCAACGGCATTACGCTATCAACTATTATTATTGAAACCAATTTCAATTTTAATCCAATTTAAAAGTTTTCGATTTTGAATTTCATACAAGTTAACCAAAAAAAAAAACTTGCATAAAAATAAGCAGGTTTCTTGCATAATGCCAAGGAAAAATGAAAAACAGTTAAAGTTGATGCAGTGTAAAATTAACTTTGCGTTTTGTTCAGTCCGGTACAGCAATTAACACCTGCTTTCCTCTCCCTTTCCAAGACAACTCCGTAGTCTGAATGTTCAAATGCAAGGAATTCTGTTCATCTTTGCATGCACTCTGCGTGAATGCATTTCTGTTCACTTTTCTAAAAGGAGCGCGACTAATTTTACTCAAATGTCCTGGCAAGGCGAGAATTTTTAGATGGAGTGACAAGTTCGGCTGGGTTTGATCTGGATGTGATGATACTGCGTTGGGGTTCACCCCTGGATTCGAATGGTCTTCTATTCCAGGATGGTATAATGGGTTGAGTGCCCCGTTGGTTGATGAGGAGGAGGAAGGGGTAGTGGGACTGTATTGTTCATTCACCTCTGAGCATCCACTTACAGCAAGTGTGCAGTATAAAGCATGCCCTGTCATCTCACGTTTATCCTATAGAACAATGTCTGTGTTGATTATAAAGGCATCAGGCACTCATTGAATTTGTCAAATAGACTCTCTAAGACATTTTGCCACACTCAAAACCATTGCGACATGGAAAAAAAACTCAGTTGAAAATTAGTTTGGTTTTTTAAACTTTACATGATGAACAACATGGTGCAGAGAAGATTTGATCAAATTGTGACCAGAGAAAAAACACTGGATTGTTCACCTGCATTGGTATCTGATTCGTTTCACATCGCTCTACATATTCTTCATTCGATTCGAGATCTCTGCTCTGCGATCCATACAACAGATTGGATCGGACACTTGATGCAGATGTGTGTCTAACTAGCTGGCCATCATTGCTCATGGGACTGCCTCTGCTACTTGTAGATGCAACAGCCAGTGGTGTATCAGTTCTCAATGGTAGACCACCCAGTTGCACCTGAGGCAGATGTAATAATCATGATATAACAAAACTTAGGGAAAATCCATGGGAAAGCTGATACAGTACCAAATCAACCCCGAGAAAAACTATAACATAATAGGCCTTCGATCATTTTGTAAGCAAGATTATAACACAGAGGCAAAGCGGACCTTCGCAACACTTGCGATACAGTTAAAACATTGCATTACAAGATACTGAGTTAGGACCGATGTGGTTAACTCATAGAGTAATTTCGGATAGGGTACACCGTCTGCTCGTCACGCTATCTTATTTTCGGCCGGATAGATTCGTGCAACTTCTTAGTCTAATACCGATCCTAATCTTACTCTTATACTATCTAGTCTCAGGTTGTTTAACTAGTCTCTGCTAGGCTCAATAGATCTAGGGTATACTGGTTTAATGCGGCTGCTGAAGTTCCTTTGGAGAGGCAACTAATTTCTAAGTTAAATTCAAATCTCTCTGGTGCTGAAATTACAAGTAATTTCAGCACTTACAAATAAGTGGATTGTTAGTTAGATGGATCATGATTGGTTAATATTAAATACTTTACAGTGGTAAAATATCTAATTTATCCAATCATAAAATGTAGTTTAGATCAGGTTCCACCCATCCGGGTTTTACAGAGTTTTTTAGAATAGTCTTTCTGCAATTCAAAGGATGGATGATGGACGTTGGTATTTGGCGAACATCATATTTCTTCTGGGTTCTCTTGTTAGAGAAGTTCCAGGTTCAATCGCTGTGTCTTCTCATGACAACGACTGGGTTTTCGCAACAAACTCAAATCTGATTTCAGAATGGTTGGCTATGACAGGTTTTTCTGTTTCATGTAGAGAACTTCTTTTGGGTTGACCTTGTCTGGGAATGGCGTGGAGATTGTGCGTGGAGGGGATGCCTGGTTACTCGGATCTGTACGTATACTTGAACATCGAGGTGGTCATTGTTCTAGTTCAATGAAGTCCTTTTCTGCGAAGTCAAGTCGTACTCTAAATCCTTTGAGTTGTGATTGTGGGCGGCATATTGATTGTGGTTGGCCATTCTTTTTCGAGTGTAGTGGGGTCATTTTGTCTTTGGATGTTCGTCTTTGGTGTTGTATGCTGATCTATATACTGCAAGGTGTAATTTACATTTTATAAAATTTTTATTAGTTTGGTGTTTTAATTATGATTTTGGTTAGTTGTTTTCACAAAAGCTTTTTGTTTTAGTTCGGTTATTTTGAAGAGTTACTCACCCTTGAGTACCTCTTATTAAAAATAGGAGTGTGGTCACAAAGCGTGGATGTAGCGCGGTGGGTTAGGCCGGCTATAGAGCATGCTCAGGACTTCCTCTCTGGTGGGTTAGGCCAGGAGTGGGAGTATGATTTCGTGCGGTTTCTGTGAGAGGTCCTGTTATGTGACAACGTTTTATGTTGGGTTTATTGTGGTTTTTCTTATGTTTCGTTGGTTGTGTCCTTTTTTCAAAAATCAAATTGTTTTTGGTATGGGTTTGTCTTTCGACTTTTTTGTGTTTTATTATTTCTTTCTTAGACTTTATAATAGTCTTCAAAAGAATAAATTATCCAGTTTTAAACTGGGTTAATCCGGTTTGGGTACCGTTGGTTTCCTTTTCTTAGTCATGCTGTTATTCTATGTGTTGTGGTGTTTAGTAAGCTGCGTTGGTTAGTTTTGATTAGTATATAATTCCTTTCCAACCGGGTTAAAGGAACGTTTGAAACTTGTTATCGTGTGTTAGAGTTGTTGAGTGTGAAAACTTGAAACTGAAATTCATTATTTAAACAATTCTTCGTGGGCGAGCTGTACGAGTTTGGATAGAATTCTTGTGCGAGTCAATGAAAATATCAAAAGGTTAGTACTGCATTTTCGTCTTATCAATTTACTACATAGAATTTCAATTTTACTGCTAGTTTTGGGAAAAACTAAGTTACAAATTTTCATTATTATGAGATTTACTGCTTGTGGGGAAACAATTTATAAATTAATTTACTACATTGGTATGAATTTTATTTAATTTAGCTGGTGCAAAAGATTAATAGAGTTTTGAACAATTTGAAGAAGTTTTCTATTTTTTATTTTTCTTTTGTGTATTTTGCAGATGATCGTGAGATGAAGACTAAAAATCTAAATGAGACATGGATAAAGAATGGTTAGTTTTTTAATTTGAATTTATTAGTTAAGAATATGTATAAATTATACTTACCTGTTAGTCGTCGGGGAAAAAACCGTGGGGGAAGATGTCGTGTATTATGTCGGAATTAGTTAGTAATTTTGCTAGTATGCGAATGATGTTTTTAGTTTGAAGCAGTGGCCAAAGCAATTGAAGTGCTTTAATGGTTTTTAGTTCTTCAGTGCCAACTGCAAAATCATAAGGTGTGTTTTGGATGAGATTATATAATTTGTGATTGTATTTAGTGTTGTGGATGAATTCTAATATCGGGATTTCTATAGGTTGAATAAATTCGTGTGGGATAAGGAAGGGTCTGGATTCTTCTGCGTTGAAGGTCTTCGTGATGGGACAAAAAATATACATTTGGGTTATGGGATCATAATTGCGAAGAATACCGTGAAGGTTAGTATCTTTGATGCAATATGTGAAGTTAAGAAAAAATGGTGAGGTGTACTTAGAATTAATAAATTGATAACGGTGGTGTGGTTGTCTTGATGGAGTGTGTAGATCAAAATGATTTTGTATGAAGCGATAATATGTATATGTGTGGGTTTGTTTAGTGCGTAACATAATATCGTGTGAGCAGTGCAAATCTCGTTCATGTGGTGCAAGGAAATGAAAAGTTAGTGAAAATAATTGAAATTTTTCTTTAAAACTTTCGTAAGCTTGTGTGTCGGTTAGTGCTTCAGAAATGATGTGATCGAATTTGCGATCAAATATATTGAGTGTAAATACATATGGTGTTTTGATGAAGAATTTTTCTGTGATTTGTGGGTTAGCGAAACGGTCATCATCTAAAAATTGGTCTTGGTTAGCTCGGATGATGTTATGATCGTAATATTCTAGCGTATATTCGTTAGCTCGGGGTGCAGTGTATGTTTTTAGTGACTTTTTATATCCTATATAAGTAAATTGTCTATGTGTTAGGGGTGTGGTGAGTCGATATAGCATATTTTGATTTCTTTCGATATCGATGTGAGTATTAGATAAAGGTAGGCAAAGGGGGTTAGTAAAATGATAATATGATGTCCAATGAAGTGTAGGCATTAAAACTTGTTCATCTACAAAACTACGTGTGTCGTTAGTGTCGTTAGGGGTATTCAAAGTATACTGTGGAAATGAGGGTAAGGTGATGGCTAAAAAATCTTTCGTGTTAGTGTGATTTGGATTATTAATATATTCACGGGCTGTTCCTGGTTTTGTTGGAAATGGATGGTTTGGGAATTTTCTTTTGAAAGTGCGGTAGGCTCTATTAGTGCTAATTGATGATTCGGTGGATGTGGATGATGGTGCTAATGATGCGGTATAAGCTGAAGAGGGTGTAGGAGTAGGTGGGTTTGATGATTCTATTGTGGATGAAATCTGGTTTATAGTGGGGATGTCAAGGTGGAAGGGTTGTTGTTGTAGGGTGATAAAATTATCTAGTTCTTGGGAGATTTGGGGGGTGTCTGGAGAATTGGATGATCGGTCTGAATGAAGTGAAGAGTAGGTTGGGGTGATTTGTGAAGCATAAGAGGGTTAGAAATGGATGGGAGTGGGTTATTTGTTGGGATTGGTTGAAAAGGGGGTTTTGAAAAAACTGAGGGGTTGGTTTGAAAATTATTGGATGGAGATGGTTCAGAGTCTGCAAATTCATCAGGGGTTTCAATATTTGGGTTATTGAGTTGTGAAATGGAGTATAAAACTGAGATATGTGAATTAGTGTCTGAATTCATGCCTGATGTTATATTATTGGTTGGGAAATCGGGTGGCGGGAAAGCAAAAAGTGGAATTATTGTAATTGGAGTGTTGAGGTTGGTTGGGTGGGAATTTGAGCGGTGTAGGGATCCAAGTTGTCGGCTCATCGTGGGCTAAAAAGATTATTATTTTGAGACTGAAAAGCGGTGGTATGGGGTTGTTCTATAATTTGTTCATATGTATTTTCATCTAGTGAATGGTGCGTCATTATATGTTGAATGGGACTTTGTTATTGCTAAATTTCGAAAATTTCGTGGGACTAGTGATAATGGATGGTTATGTGGTAGGGGTGGTAACTGTGGTGCTGTAGGCGTTATGTCTACATTGTTATGTTCTTCGTCATATGTGTTCTGTCTTGTTGCTATTTTTGTGTTGTATTCTTTTATTTGTGCGTCTAAAAGAATTTTGTTTATTGATGATGAAAAAATTCCAAAAAATCCTGCAAATAGTATGCGTGCTACACTTGCTTGTCTGTTTACTTGTGTGTGTATAGCGCATGTATTGTAGATTCCTTTTAAGAGTGAAAAAGGAAATCCTATAACGTTAAACATTGCGTATAAAATAGTTAATTTTTCTAAGATGTAGTAGGGCCATCCTAGAAAATCAAGAATTTCATTTTTGAGTGTAACAAAGCTAAAAATATTTATAGGTGAGATATCTTGTGGTCGGTATTTTTCACCGTTTAGATATATATAGTCTTTGATGTCTTTAAAATATCCGCTATAATCTTGTGTATAAATATCTGCAAATCCTGCGGTTTCGGCAAGTTTGCGTAAGTTTTGGTCAATTGATTGTCTTTGTATAGTGTCCATTTGTGTTAATAATTCTTGGAATTGTTGTGTTCTAATGTGATGTTGGATATCGGATTTTGAATATATTCCAATTGATTGTAGGTCAATATTTGGGTTTCGAGCAATAGCTCTAATGCTTTCAGGTGAAAATTTTTTGAGTGATTGCATTAGTGTGGGATATGGGGTAAGAAGGTAATATTTATCTTCATCAGGGTTCAGTTGAACTACATTGTGGCTATTTTCTGATCCACATGGGACTGCGGTATCCCAGAAATAGGTTCGTCTTGAAAGTGTGTCAGCGAAAGGTAC